GTGCTAGACTTGAACCAAAGAAAATAAACTCACAGTTCTGGCAAAATTTACATTTGAAATAGCACAATTATCTTAATGGAATCATGAGGAAAATAAAAAAAGAAAAGTTTAAAATATTAGTAAAATAACCCAAATATACAGCCATTTCAAAATTTTACCTTTATTCTATATGGCATTTTATGCCATCAGAAATATCATCCCAGCCGGACGCTGGTGGCTCACGCCTGTAATCCTAGCTACTCAGGAGGCTGAGATCTGAGGATCGCGGTTCAAAGCCAGCCCGGGCAGGAGAGACCATGAGACTCCTATCTCCAATAAACCACCAGAAAACCGGAAGTGGCGCTGTAGCTCAAGTGGTAGAGCGCTCGCCTTGAGCTGAAGAGCTGAGGGACAGCGCTCAGGCCCAGAGTTCAAGCCCCACGACCAACCAAAAAAAAAAATGTCATCCCAAGAGGAAGTCCATAAATACAAAAACATTTAGAATATATGTCATCAACTCTTTTGTGATTGTTTTTCTATCATTTTAAGTATAATCTTCCTTAACTAATCATTAGCTTGTAGTAGTAATGTGGCCATCTTTGACTGTACCTCACATTTCACTTCACCATTCTCTCAGCCATCCAGTAGTGAATCCTTTATCTGCCAAGGGACATTTAGATATTTACAACATTTATATGGACCATACAAAATTGTCAATACAAGCAGATGGACTGTAAAGTGATGACCATCTGCGATTCTATTATCAACTACCACATTCAAGGAACTCACTAATAATGCCACAAGGCAAAAGGTTACTCAAGTCAGCCTGATAATGTATGGTCACCTAGGTCTGCTTGGCACACTCACATAAAAAATAGGTCCCTCTGAATTATCTTTGCAGTTAGACTTTAATTTTCCTAATCTGTATTTTCATTCTGATGTAGGGCAAACTATCCTAGGAAAGTAATTCCATTATTTCTTTCACATCACCATTTACTTATAATCTATCCCTTGGAAATCTATTTCTTACTTCACTGAATTGTTCTCTGTACAATGACCAATGAACTCCTCGTTTTCAAAGATGGAGGAAATGTTGAAAACTTTGAACTTTATTGGGGCATTTGAAATTGTTAAGGACCCCACCTCAGAGCTTTCACATTCTTAGGCTGTTGTGGCATAATTTTTTTATTTACATAGAAATATCATTTTTACAAATTCTGTAACTGAAACTCATTTTTACTCATTTAAACATTTTAACTGAAACTCATTTTGTAAGCTGAAACTTATTTTACAAATTTTCTTAGTGGTAGTTTTGATCTGACAAAATGTCAAGAGAAATTTTTCAAACCATAATTGCTAATAAAGGTAACTATTTAACAACTACTGGATTGCCAGCACTAACTGTAAAGTCACTAATTTGTAAGATACATCCTAAGTTCAAAGGTCTTAAAATTTGCAAGAATTGTACATCTAAAATTCCTTGACAAATGATGTTTGCTGATGGTTTAAAGAGAACTAATCTGTGTTGCTTGAATTCAAGGCTTTAAGAAGTAATAGAAACTATTTTTTGCAGTAAAATAACTTTACTTAATGCTGAGTTTTAAAAATTATATTAGAATGAGACAATACATGAAACACGTAATGCAGAAAGGGTAGAAGACAGAATAAAGCTCTCAGTGAAGAGTAGCTGTTGTAATGCATTTTCAATGAAGTAGTGCTAGCAGAAATGCATGATATTTTCTACAAAACTATAACTTTATAAGTTTACTGAAGATGGTTTTTTCTTTCTGAGTTAAGCCTAACAATTTATAAGTGTTTTTGAGGGGTTTACAAAGATTGAATAAGATAATGCATGCAAAATATTTGACTTATTATTACTTGAAGTAGTACCTAATATTTACAGCAGAACATAGATTATAACATGTTTTTCAAAAATAATATTTTATATATATTTATAAGATGATATAGATGTACTGAAGTTAATTTCAGAAATGTGAATTCATTCCATTTAATAATTCTTTGTGGACTTTTTTCATCTGGGTTGAATAAATTACATTATAGCATATATTGATTTGAAAATACTTGGCCCTGGATGTAGGAAATGAAAACCACTCAGTAAAAGTTACTACGACGATGACGATGATGAAGACAATGGCTACTACTATTATTATCAAAATGCATTTGTTTCCACTTTTCCTCGTCTACATTAAAGATTTTAAAAATACCAAAATTTCCCCATTGTATTTGCTAAATTTACTCAACTTTTCTGACATTAACTTCACCAAATAACATATACCTTTTAGAATTTTTATAGAAATGAATAAACTTATGAATTAAGGTGTTTCATTGATAGTATTGATATTTATACTTAACTGGCATTATAATAGCATATTGGTCAGTATTGTTGTAATTTAAAATGCTAAGAGGTTCAGGCACTGGCCGCTCATGCCTGTCATCCTACTTAGGAGGCTGACATCTGAAGATAGAGATTTGAAGCCAGCGCAGGCAGAAAAATCGATGAGATTCTTATTACAAAACCACTAAAATAAATAAAATGCTAAAGAGGACAAAGTGGTGTGTGTGTGTGTGTGTGTGTGTGTATGTGTGTGTCTGTGTGGGGGGGTGTCTATGTCTGTGTCTGTGTGTGACTTAGTGGTGCTGGGTTAACTCTTCAGAACCTCAATAACTTCACCTATCAATACTGAACAGCAGTTCTCAAACTTTGATGTCCTGGACCTCTTTATACTCTGGAATACCTGAGGGCTCCAAAGAGCTTTTGTTTCCACAAGATATATCTACTGACATTTATATTTGAAATTAATATTTGGAAATGTTGAAAATTGTGATAGTCTTATTTTAAATAAGAAAAATCCCCTTAATATGAATAAAAGTAATATTCATATTTTTATGAAAGGTAACTATAACTTCAAAAAATCAGAAAGACAACAGGCATTTTTATGGGTTTTAAAGTCTCTTTAACATATTATTAAATTTGATACAAAGACAGTTGAATTTTCACACATGTGTCCAAATTCAGGATATTGTGGTACATTGTTTTAGCTAAAATTTATCTAAAAAGAGGAAACAATATAGTTTTAAAGATAAATGTTTGAGGATGGAAACCTAAAATATACTTGATTCTCAGAAACCCGCAAGGTCCTTGACCACACTTTGAGAACTGCTGACTCAATCTTTTAATTTTAAAGTAAGTAAGATAGTCTATGATTGATATATTGTTATTAATTTATAATCTGATATTGTTTGAAAGTTGAATGTTTGCTTGTTTGTTGACAGCATACATCATTTTTAAACACAAAATTTATGATGGTATAGATTTGATAAAGTGGTTAAGCTATCTCACCAAACATCTGTTGTTTAGGAATTTGAACCAAATTGAAAAGCACAGAAGATAGGCATAATAAATGGCAATTATTAGGATCACTCTTTCCTCAGCGTATGTAAATTATGCCACTAGATTCTAGGGGTGAAGTTGCTCTTAAATTTCCCCAAATGTCTTCATCTCATCTACAATGACTCTGCTCCATTATCTTGCTGTCCCTTGACAGTCTTCTGTAGACCCAAAAGTTTCTCAGAAAAATGAGGAACTCAATTGATAGAAGTAAGTGAACACACCTCTAGAGGTGTGCTCTGAGGGATACCATCCCTCAGATAGATGTTTAGTGTATGAAGTCCTATTACAGCCACTGTACAAAGCCTTCCCCAGAGACTCGGGTTTCTCCAGGACTACTTAGAAGATTGATCAGGAATCCATTTCCAGAAGGAAAAAAATCTCCACATCTAGGTTATATCTACTGAAGTCAGGATGCCACTAGAGGGCAGACAAAACTCCCAGCTAAATCGGAGCCTCAAGCTCCAATTTCCAGGTTGGTGGGAGAGTGGAGAATGTGGCAACCTGAAAACTATCATCACACACACACACACACACACACACACACACACACACACACACACACACACACACACTACTGCTCTTACTGGAGGTATGCAGGAAGATAACTGTGTTCTACCAACATTGTTTCATAAAAATGTCCTTCTTCCCTATGGTCATCCCTATGGTCATGCTGAGTGTTTCTACTAAGGTCCAAATGTTTTGCTCAAAAAGCCATCATTTACAAAGTTAGCAATTGCCACAAATACTTGGAAACTATTTGGATCTGCAGTTTGATTAGACACATTTGTCTATTTCAGAAAGTCAGAAAGTACCTCTAATCTTCTATTTACTTTTGTTATTTTTTAAAGTGTTTCCTGGGTAAAGCACAAACTCTCCACTGTCCATGTTATTACAAAAAATACTCATCTCTCCCACTTCTCTCTCTTTCTTCTCTCTCTCTCTCCTCTCTTTCTCTTCCCTCCCCCCCTCTCTGCCTCCTATTCAGCTCTATTACTAAACTATTGTGGAAAGACTACTGTGTACTCTTTCTCTTGACCTTGAAACAATGTTACTTATGCCCATAAACAAAAAAAAATCCTTGTTAAAAAGAAACATTTCAGTTTCTGCTTATAGATTATAGATTATTTTAAATAATATTCATACACACTAGCCTCTTATAAGTGGTGTACATATAATTTTTATTGAATTTCAAAGATAACATGCCAACAATGAGTGCTTGTTAGTAATGTCATTGAGGCCAGATGTGAAGTTATTTATTGAGTGAGCAAATATTTATTGACTGACTCCTATGAGCCAGGACAGCTTCAGATACTGGAAATCTGACACAGGGAATCACAGTGCCTTCTAAAACTCAATAAACTATCTCTGATAACTTATCTCAATAATCATAATTTGATCCCATCTACAGAAATTTAGAGGAGAAAGCCACCCTTACCTGATATTAAACAGCGATCCAATCATTCCAATGACCATCAGTTATGCTGTGAATTGCTTTCAACAAACATTCAGTCTAAAGTGTCTTCAGGAAAATGCAAGCAAATGAATGTACTACACTGTAAGCGATCAGTTCTATCATTTCCTGTGCTGTAACAGTGTCCCATTCCTTCAGGTGTATCGGTCCCTATCCCAGTGATTGGACTGAGGGATGAAGACAAAGTGTTCGTGAACAACACCACGTGCGTGCTCAACGATCCCAATTTCGTTCTTATTGGGTCCTTCGTGGCATTCTTCATCCCGTTGACGATCATGGTGATCACGTATTTCCTGACGATCTACGTTCTACGCAGACAAGCCCTGATGTTGCTGCGCGGCCAAACGGAGGAACCTATTGGGCCCAGCCTGGATTTCCTGAAGTGCTGCATGAAGAACACGGCTGAGGAAGAGAACCCTGCCAACACCAACGAAGATGTGAAGCCGCGCCGCAAGAAGAAGAAAGAAAGGCGTCCTCGGGGCACGATGCAGGCCATCAACAATGAAAAGAAAGCTTCCAAAGTTCTTGGTATTGTGTTCTTTGTGTTTCTGATCATGTGGTGCCCATTTTTCATTACCAATATTCTGTCGGTTCTTTGCGGGAAGTCATGTAACCAAAAGCTGATGGAAAAACTTCTGAATGTGTTTGTTTGGATTGGCTATGTTTGCTCAGGAATTAATCCTCTAGTGTATACTCTCTTTAACAAAATTTACCGAAGGGCTTTCTCCAACTATTTGCGTTGCAATTATAAGCCAGACAAAAAGCCTCCAGTCAGACAGATTCCTAGGGTTGCTGCTACTGCTTTGTCTGGGAGGGAGCTTAATGTTAATATTTATCGGCATACCAATGAACCTGTGATGAGGATACCTCAGCGATGCGAGCCTGGTATAGAGATGCAGGTGGAGAATTTAGAGATACCAGTGAATCCCTCCAGTGTGGTTAGTGAAAGGATTAGTAGTGTGTAAGAAAACAGCATAGTCTCCTACAGTGATGCTACATGTGTAGGGGAAATCTTCTTTGACTTTGTTGGTATTTCCTAATATGTAAATATTGCTGTGTGAAAAAGATTTTATATATATAATATATACATACATATATTATATATATATAGCTTTGCAATCCTGTACTTTACAATCATGCCTATAAAAGTGAGATTTAAGGTTCTATATTTACTGTTTATAATAGATGGAGACTAAGTTATTTTGAATCTTTGATGAATAGAGTGTTTATGGTTTTCTTCCTCCCTCCTCCTTTCCATTTTTCCTTCCTTCTTCACTCTCTCTCTCCTTCCCTCCTCCCCTTCTTCCCTCTCTTTCTCTATTCCTGAATAGAGAATGTGGACACACTAATGTGAATGTGGACACACTAATGTTGTCTCAGGTGGCATTTGCAGGAGACCAGAATGATACACACACATGACAGTGATTACATTATAACCACACCGAAACTGTCAAGCCCAGTGTTATGTTTTCCAGACTGACAGTAAATATATACTTTAATCTCTTGCTCTGCTCATCTACACACATCCATGCAGTAAGTAAGATAGATTCTGCCTTTGCGAAAAACACTCCTGTGTGTGAAAGGCAGAACTTAGCCTTGTTATTACATATAGGGGCAAAATTTGACATTGTCACAATGTTGTGTTGGTATTTTGCTGCAATGTCTGTCCCTAAACATAGTGGTATTTAAACACGCAGCTGGTTAACCAGAACTACAGAAGTGGAAGGATGACAAATTTATATATATATACATGTAAATATATATATATATATATATATATATATATATATATATATATATATATATATATATATATATACACACCAAATCGCTTTTCACTTCTTTAGGACAATGTTCAAATTCTGATTCTTATGACAAGTAAACTGGAATTAGTGTCTTCATTCTGGTCCTTAGTAAATACCTAATTCCATGACTAAACTGGGAAATGAGATCCCAGAGTTATTTCCCAATCCAGGATTCAACATCAATTCGGTTTTGATCTCAGAATTCTGGAAATTCGTGTGCTACACACAAAGTGAAATTAACATTTTGAGCCTTATTAAAATATTTTCTTAATTGTGGTACCTCTATCTATAGGACCTAAATTAGCAGTCCATTTTTAAGTAAAATTTGTATTGTAAGGGTTGATGACAACGGTCTTGGAAGTTTTACTTGACTAAGGACTGCTGAATTAGGCCCTTAGAATGTGAAAAAAATAATTAAAAAGACTCTTTTACTGAACTCTGGGAATAATAGAAACACAGAGTTTCCATTTGGATTTTAAACAAAATTTGTCTCATTTTCAGATCCTTCCAAACTCTCTAGTGCAGGGAAAGGCTGCAGCTAATTTGTGCAAATGGCAAGCTTTTCATTGTTACTGCAATTATGTATCTGAATTTAAAATCTTTGTTAAAATATGGTGTTGTGTTACAATAAGTGTGGGCCATTGCTTCATTCCTGGGCCTGCTACTGCTCTCTAAGAATTCAGTACTACTTTAATAGTTTGTAAACCATGAGAGGTTTTCAAACATTGCTAAAACTAAACCATTAAATTTATACTGTGTGCAGGGTATACTCGTGTTTCCAGTAACTGTGTGTCCATTTCACACAACTGTGGATAAATTTCTGAAGAATTCATGATGCTATTTCTTATGCCTGACAGTTGCTCATACACTTTAGGGTGTACTTCTTAGTATTTTCAAACTGGTGACTGCAGAATCTGAGTTTTCAATACCCCTGGTCTGTGTTTTCAGCACACAGCATAGATAAATCTTAGTCTGCCACAGGGGCATTGGGAGTGTGGCTGTTTTTGAGGAAACTCAAACAGTCTCTATTTGATTACAACACTGCCAAATGCCAGTCAATTGCTTGAGCATGCCCACATATAACACGAAAGTCAAGTCTACCTGCCTGTTAAGTCAGTTGAATTGCATGTAAAAACAATTATCTGAAATTGAATGAGATGATCTATTTCTTACAGAAATGAAAATGTCTGAAGAGACACAGCATGCACTTAGCATGAGCTCTGCACATACAGATGGTGCCCTGCATGTATGCTATGTGTGTTGCATGAATCCATCGATTTGTATTAATGTAGGGCAGAGTAGCTGATATAAAGAGGCATAAAGAAAAGCCTTCAGCATTCCTTAAAAAGAGCATACATTCAGATCTGAAGTATAGTATTAGAGAAAATTGGAAACATCTGATTTCTTTCTAAATTATCAGGGCAAGCTCATAGCACATGTTTTACAGAGAAATAAAATATAAACCACAGATTTCCAAAAGCACTAGCAATAAGTTGAATGATAATAGCTTACAGCACATTTGTTAATAATTCTTATATCATCAAGTAGTAGTACTTAATAGTACCCAACACAGTAAATTATCCTCAAATTGTGTGCTATTCGTAAGTTCTGTGCTGTTTGGTATGAAAACAAATATACTCATTTGGATATAAATCTTACAGTTCAGTGTTAAAGCTACAAACTTTTCTAAGTGTTTTAAAACAGTCCATGTGATAAATGTAAATGTGTTGAATTTACTGTCAAACAAATCACTTTGATGTGCTATTATATATGTATATGTGTTTAAGACATGTGCAACAGACTGCCTTATATTATTTCCTGTAATTCTTCTCCTTCTCCTTTGTCCAATGGTACTTTTTGTGAATGGTTGCAAAGTGATGTCTTATTCTTGATTCCTGTATGTTATCCACTCCAGGTTTTTGTGATACTTCCTATTAACTTATTAAATTTATTAAATGTCTGATACTGTGTCATGTGTCTTTTTTTCCCCATGAGAATTTCATGGACAAAAATATCTCTTTCCTTTTTTTAGAAGTTAAATTGGTTTCTATAAAATAAGCTTACAAAGATGAACACCATCAGAAAATATCACTTTATGTATGTACTTGAAAAATCTATAACATGAGAGGAAAAACAAGAGGTGGGGGATGTCAAAACAATACCACACTATCAATACCAGTTCCTCATGAGAAGAACTTCCTGCCTTGCTTTCCTGCACAGAGGCTGGGTGTCTCATGTCTTTACCTTTCTATAGCAATTATCATTGTCTTTTCCCCATGGACAGAAAGATCATGTCTATCTTGTTCATGGTTATATCTCCAACATTTAGCAGCTACCTTCAACAGATATACACTGAGCTTTAATATGAAACAGCCCAAGGTTGTCCATTTCTGTTGGCAAAATGAGCCTTACAACTCCTCACAATTCAGTCACATAGCTTGGCACAGTCACCTTAATCAACCTCTAATCTCAGAAGACACCTATGAAATAATCAGATCCACCATACTAAACCATATATTTCTCTATATCTGGATCCAGAAATGACTACATACATTGACCTTGTCTTTCCATGTTATTTTTATGGTACTTGGTGAGCCGAGGCAATGCTGGGCTGATTTCAGCTCCTGAGAAAAAAGCATCAATTCCTCATTCATTTATAAACATAAATAACTTCTTTTCCAGAAAGATCAAAAGATACAAGTTAAACTTCCACTTGAAACAATAGGGCTACTTGCAGTGTAAAAGCTACTTGCAGAAATAGCTGGTAGTGTTGAGGCTGCCCAACTCTGAGGCAATGGAAAGAGGCTAAAATTTCGATGTCGCAGTGTTAGATTCATTACTAGCTATAAAGTATAGGAAAGGAAATGTGGGCTTGAGAATCCAGAAGACCTTCAGTGCATAGCACTAGAAGCCTTTTCTGATGTGATGAAAAAACCTGCTACATGCCATTGAATAGCAATGCATTTCTAGTATTCAGTTTCCTAGTGCAATTCCCAATGCTGAGTCCCATTTATCCTTCTATCTGTCCCCTACTCTTATGTTAACTTGTCACCTAGAGGACTGACAATATTAGAGTGCACACCTGCGCACATCCACAGAAGTAGGTAGCATAATAGTGGTTTTAAAATATTATGTGAACTATGTGCAGTACAGTTACTGTATATGTTAATTGTGAGGTGCTAATTTTAAGTGTGCAGAAAGTCTATCAGAGAGAGGTTTTAGGATGCTTATGACTAAGAAAAGGGAAAAAAAGTGTAATCGTGAGAAGTTTTCCCTTTAGAGGGGAAGATTCACCACATAGCCTCTTTTCCTTTAAAAGTTGAATTGAATCCTGTAAAAACAACTTCTTGAAGACTAATTTAACAAAAGGTGTCATTTTCCAAACAGTACGCATGTACTCAAAATATTATAATAGCAGAGGTCAAATGATTGAAATGTGTGAACAAAAAATAGTATTGCACTTTGCTGATCCCCATGGGAAGCTGTGAATTTAGGATGGCCCTTCAGTGTAGTTCTAAGTTGAGATGAGTGTGCCAGGCCTTTGTGACACCACTGCCCTTAAGAGAGATGAGTGGCCCCAAGATACGTGGCCACACCATTCTGTACAACTAAGCAACTCCCAAAGAAGACTTCAGTTATATATGAGAGCTGTCAGCTCCTGAGAAATACCAAATTAGCCCCAAAGGACAGAGTACCATAGTATCCATGAGGAATAGGATACTAATTGGATAGCAAATGGTTCACTATCACTAAGGTATTTGTTTGTGTGTCTGTCTGTGTGGTTTTCTTGCCAGTCCTGGGGCTTGAACTCAGGGCCTAGGCATTGTCCCTGAGCTTCTTTTGCTAAAGGCTAGTACTCTACCACTTGAGCCACAGTGCCACTTCCAGCTCTTTCTGTTTATGTGGCACTAAGGAATTGAACCCAGGGCTTCATGCATGCTAGGCAAGCACTCTGCCATTAAGCCACATTCCCAACCCTTAAGGTATATTTTTATAACTCTTAACTTCTGACAATAAACATGTGGGGTTTCCAAGCTAAACACTTCTCTGAAAACACCAACTGACTCAATTTCATTCAATTCTGTTAATCAAGAATAAAATCAATCTAGTGGAGAACAAGGATAAAATTAGGGTTGCAATATGGGAAACCACAGATTTAA